TATCAAATCCCCCCTCATTCTTCTCTTCTGCAGATGAAATAAGACCAAATCCCTCAGCCTTTCCTCATGTGCTCCAGTCCCCTAATCATTTTGGTTGCCCTGTGCGGGACCCTCTCCGATGTGTCCACATCCTTTCTGTAGTGCGGGGCCCAGAACTGGACACAATACTCCAGATGTGGCCTCACTAGTGCCAAATAAAGGGGAATGATTACTTCTCTAGATCTGCTGGCAATGCCCCTCCTAAAGCACCCTAATATGCCATTAGCCTTCTTGGCTACAAGGGCACACTGTTTACTCATATCCAGCTTCTCATCCACTGTAATCCCCAGGTCCTTTTCTGCTGAACTGCTACCTAGCCAGTCGGTCCCCAGCCTGTAACAATGTTTGGGATTCTTCCATCCCAATGTGCAACATTTCATCGTTAGTGATATTTTTAGAAAGATTTTTAAAACATTCTGGAAAAATAGTAGAACCCAAGTGGAAGATGATTTTTATTTCTTCCCCTAGGCCAATTCTGAGCAAAAACCAACTGGTTACATTTTTTTATCATTTCAAACATGTAAAAAACATCTCAGGGTATGGAGGTTCACCAGATGGAGAAGCAAATGAAACAATTGGAGGGAGTTGTGAAGGAGCAGACTTACAAGAACTTTCTTAAACAGAGAGAGGAAAAATAAAATCTATTTAAAAAAAAACATGTAGTAAACACAAGTTTAGACATACAGGAAGGAACCAATTGAAATGTATTTGGAAAGAGTCTAGAATTATAGAGGACAGTCCTTCAGTGGCTGACAATTAAGACTAGACACATATACCTCATTTTTTCCAGGAATACAGGTTCTTTCGAAAAAGGGTTTTTTTTTTTCCACAAAAGAACCCAGTTTAGACTGCGGTTTCTTTTTCAAAAAAACCCTTTTTCGAAAAAGCACTCTCACGCAATTATGCAAACGAAGCGCAAGATTTGAAAATCCATGCTTCATTTGCATTTTCGATCGGACTCCTTTACATTCCTCTTTTGGAAGAGGAATGTAGTTTAGACATAGCCATACAGTAAACTGGTTCTTTCCATCATATATTCTAGGTGGAAAATCACCATTAGATTTCAAAGAATTTAGCACTGGTTTGTCAGTGTTGTGGTCCATTTTAAACAAGAATTATCAGAATCCGTCTCTCCTCCTACTCTTTTTCTCTTTCACACTATTTAAACTCCTGATCTGAAGGATTGCTGTCATATGAGTGTGACTCGCAAAGCAACTAGGGTCCATTGTTCACCCTCATTTCCACCATTGGAACTGCATAGAACACACTGGAATTATATGGCTGTATCTGGGGACAAAGATCCATCCCTGATGTAATTCATCTGACTTCAGTAGTTACAGCAGGGGAAATGTTCCCTTAGATGTTTTTAAGGAGAAAAACTTGCAAAAATACAACATTAAATTGATATCTGCTTTCCAGTGGCTTCTTTAATATAATGGATATTTTGTTGCCATTCTATCTTTCATTGAAATTACTGCCTAATCAGATGGGAGTAGAAGAGCTATATTTAAAGACAAATCACAATAAATATGTGGTGATAGGAGGGTTAATGCACTAGTTTCCAAGACCATCACAGCTTCTCCTTCCTCCCTCCAAAGGACTATTGTGTGCCATATTTTTGGGGACAGGAGCAGGCCTTGCTGTATTCCATTCTCTTTCTGGTTTCTATTTCTCAGGGTAGATTGATGCATATCAAACCAAGACTAAGATCCTGGCTCTAGCCCTGCCTAAATTATGAACATATCTTGCTACTTCTGTTGCAAATTAAAACAAAACAAACAAACAAAAAACCAGACCCTGATACATCCTGGTACACTAGTGTTGCAAAAAAAAAAAAAAAAAAACACTTCCTGCCAGTTTGGGCCGGGACTCCAGTGACTAAATGGAAAACATAATTAAGAGCTGCTACTGTACCTTAAATATCTGGCCTTGAATGTGTCCCAGTACAAAACCACAATCCGTTAATGTATCAGCCAGTCAATCAATCAAAAACAAACAGTAACTCTATTTGTTGCCCCATGATACATGACAGCTGCAAAAAGATATATATTTTAAAAATATGTAAACCTATATCCTCTTGGATGCAACAGTGTTTTTTGTGAAATTCCCACATCTCCCATAACACTTACCCACTGGTTCTGCCTATATATATATTATATCTGCAACCCTAAATACTTCCAACAGCATCATCTGGATCTAGAGGTGCTGGAACAATTTGTAGAGTGAGAGCACCGACAATCAAAGGACCAAACTGTAAACCCTGCGTAAGATGGATACAAGAATTCCTCTCTTGAGCAACCTCTTTTGTGTGTGTGTGTGTGTGTGTGTGTGTGTGTGTCTGTTTCTATATCTATTTAGTCAGTAGCCTTATATACTTCTCCTCCTACACTGGACACACTTAGGCTATGTCTACACTATAGGGCTGTGTCTACATTAGCAAGATTTTGCGCAAAAGCAATTGCTTTTGCGCAAAATCTTGCCACCTGTCTACACTGGCCGCAAGTACTTGTGCAAGAACACTGACGTTCTAATGTAGGAAATCAGTATTTCTTGTGCAGATACTCTGATGCTCCTGCTGAGGGATAAGCCCTCTTGCGCAACAGTTCATCGGAGCTTTCTTGAGCAAGAGAGCGTCTATACTGGCACGGATGCTTTTGTGCAAAAGCACATCTCTTGTGCAAAGGCACATGCCAGTGTAGACGCTCTCTTGCATGAATACTTTAACACAAAAACTCTTGCGTTAAAAGTATTTGCATGAAATCTTGCCAATGTAGACGTAGCCCATGGGTTTTGTGCAAAAATAGCTGTTTTTGCTCAAAAACCCACGCGTCCACACCTCAAGCCTGTTTTTGTGCAAGAAAATCTATAGTCAATTGACATAATAGAGGGCTTTTTGTGGTGTAGGTATACTTCCTTCTACAGGCATAACTCCTTTTTGCACAAGAATTTTTGCACAAAAAGGCAGGTGTGGATGCTCAACACGGGTTTCTTGCACAAAAAGAGCCTATCACAAAAAGCACAGGTTCTTTCTTGCGCAGGAGTGTCCATGCAGCGTTGTTGATCACTTGCAAAAAAAAGCACAGTGCTTTTGTGATGAGCTTTTGATGTGTGGACATGCTTTTGCACAAGAAGTTTTTGTGGAAGATCTTTTCTGCAAAAAAGTTCTTGTGCAAAAACCCTGCAGTGTAGAGAAAGCCTTAGAAAGTTCAGTTCAGTTTTACATATAACATCAGTTGTAGAGGTATTTGCCATTTTAAAGATCAGGGATTTAGGGAATCTCTCTGAAACTGGTAATGCCTCTCAAACCAAAATGAACTTCTAAAACATACATATGAAATGCAATCTCTCTCTATTGCATGGTTGATCATACACAGCGTGCCAGCCTTGCAATATTTTAGTTTGAGGTTTTCTGTTTCTATTTTGCTGCTGTTCTGTATTCTAGGAAATAATGACTTATTATCCTTGACCAAATGTAAATACAGATTTAACAATTTGTACAGTTAGCAATTTATGGAACATTTTAGACTAGAGTATTATTTATAACACATTATTAACATTAGGTAGAATAAGTAATTCTGTTGCTTTGTCAGTGGCGTGTGTACAGAGTTCAATATAGCTGTGAAATCACTTTTTTACTGAGTCTCCAGTCACTGATACATTGTAAGATGCTGGGATGCAGAATATTTTGATGGACTATGTGGAGTTGCATAAATAACAAATTTAGATGTCAAAACTTGGAATATAACCAGCCAAACCCCAACCATATATTGTAATATACACCTGTCAAGCTAGACTGTTTTGCAGTTTCTTGTACCAGCCAGGATTCAGATATTTTGGCAGCTGAAGCAACACTTAATGTCCTATGTTGATAGTACAACTACTAAGTCTGGAGCCAAAATCTGGCAGGAACCAGATTCTAGATCTGAGTTTTTGTAGTGCTGTGGATCTAGGTGCAGGATTTTATGCAGAGTTCTCAGGGTCTATTTTTTAAGGTGAAATCTAGATTTTTAAAATGATTTTTGTAGGGCAACAGGCTCTATCAGAGTCCGTGAGGTTTTCCTTTTTCTCTTTGTAATTTCCGTCATTACCAGAGTCGGATGGGGAAGAAAGAGAGGAAGCTTCCATGCACCTCTTTGTTTCCTACAGTGGATGAGATCCTGCCAGCCAGGCAGCCAGCCAGCCCCCAATTCCCTGTCCCTGCTAAGTCCTAGCAGGATCCTGGTTTAATGACTGCTGGGAGGGGGAAAGGGCGCTAAACTACTGCAGACGCTCCGCCCACCTGTTCTGTGATTGTGTGGGAACCAAGAGGGGTGGGCTTAGTAGCTCCACCCAGCCCTTGTACTGTGCACATGGATTGGTGAGTCTGGCTGTCTAGTTAAGAGGTGCGTTTATTTATGTTCCTCCTCTTTTTTTATTTCGCGAAACCTACTGGCTTAAAAGATACCCTGGACTTGGCTGGTCGGGTCCAGAGGAGGAGGAGGAGCTCGGAGCCTGGGGCCAGCATATTGAGTGGAGATCAACTTCTGCTGCATCTTTGGGGTTTTCGTCCGCCGCCGCCGCTGCTTTCAACATTCCCGAAAGCATTAAATCGTCTAGAGCAGTAACCTTCTCGGGCGAGACTCTGTTTCCGAGTTAAACAAGTGACTGAGAAAACACGGGGGAGGAGTGGGAAGGAGAGACTCAAACCCAGTCTGCCTCTCTCTGTGCCTGTCTGGGCTCTGGGTTGGTCAGTATCCCCACCTCCCAGAAAACTTTAGTGCAGCGAAGCGAACGAATGTGCCCAGAGATGTGGGCATCTGGTTTATAAAATCAAGGCGCTCTCCTGAGCATGGTGGGGGAATGTGTGTGTTCACCCCAACAGCGCCCTAGGCTTGCGCGTGAGATCCTTGCCTAGAAGCTCCAGCGCTGATATTTTTATAGGGATGTATGTGAGAGTGTGTGTGAAGGCGAGGAAGAGTTTTTGGTTTTTTGTTTATTGCGGAGGGGGGGGGCTATTTGCGAGTGTATTTATTTTAATACCCTCGGCTATTCTGGAGGAGAGAGGGAGGGTTAAAAAAAGGAAAGTAAAGAAACAATTCATCTCTGTGAAGGAAATGCCTTCTGCGCTCTCCAGATGACCTCCTCTGAAAATGCAACCTCTGCCGCTTATTGGTTTTTATTTTGAATCCAAAGTGTGTGAAATAGAACCCTAAAGTTCCCAACAGACACAAGGATGTGCAGTGCTGGGGTTAGCAATATGTGGCAGCTTCTGTCACCGTTCCTCTTCAGCCTGGCAGCATTTTTTTCCAAAGGTAAAGAGCAATTTATTCTTTTCTTTACTACAGCAACCTCTCAGGGTGTCTTGGATATTGTTGTCTTCTGTACGATTTATGGCTGAAACGTTTTGGGGGGATCTTTGTGATAGGCAAACACAAAGAATACATTCTGAAAATAAATTGTGTTTATAGCTAAAGCCACCTCCTAGAATTTCCCAGATCTACATTTGTAAGCTGTCTACTATATCTTTGTTCATGCATATGATACTGGCGGACAACCTCTGATGTGCACTACAAAGGTTTTTAGTTAGCTGGGTTTCTAAAATTCTTCAGGACTACCTAACTTTGGGTTTAAGTACCCTAGCTTTATGCCCTATGTAATAATTCCTATGTAAAGTCCCTGTATCTCATCTGACAGCCTTTTACTAGAACACATGATGGGAACTAACAGACCATCCTTCCAATAGTAATACAGGTTGGTTGAAATGTCCAAGACCTGCTTATTGTTCTGAAATCTCATGTCAGTGACTTTAGAATTTCAATATGTTGAACTGATTTGGAATGTGTTGACATAATTCCTGAGTGAGAGTTGTACCGGAATAAAGTTAGAAAAAGGGTTACAAGACCAAGATACATACCCCCCCTCCACCCACACAACCTTTCTTGCAATCAAAAATTCTCCTTTGAATACTTAAACTTCTGATGCTTGGTGTAAGCCCATAGATTAATTAATTTTTTCAATGTACGAAGAAAATCTTTAAATTTGTCTTGAATTATAAAAATGGAGGGGGGAGCAGAGAGAATATACATTTTCAGGAAGATATTAAGGACTTGTCTGTGCCTGAATAGCTGAAAACTGGCTTGAATGTTATAGCTTTAGAATGTATAGGCCATCAGTGAGGAACTGTGGCCATATGTCTTTGAGTTATGCTTTTAATTTCTTTGTAAAAATATTTTAAATTACTGTAGTTTTGTTTATATGCAGTGAAGTGTTTTTAGAAAAGTTTTGTTACATAATTGTCAATGGCATGTCAAAGTTGTAGCAGTTTTATAGTGTAGTTGTAGGGTGCCAGGCTTAATATTTTTTGTGTATCTAAAGACCACAGTTCTGTGTTTCCAACTAAATATTTTCCTTTTCCCTCTCATACCTTTAAAACAAATATAAGAACTTCCAAAACAACCATAACAATCCAAAGTAAATTAAATTCAAAATCCTATTGTTAGTGCAACTTCCTAGCTGCAAATGAAAGCCCATAAAGTCAGAGACTATAAAGATGATTCTTGCTCTAAGATTACTTCATTCACATTACCAATCTGTAGCTTCTGATTACTAGTTAGATTGTTAAATATGTATTTTAATACAAGCCATGTCTCGTTTTTGATCAATAAACACTTCAGTAAGAATGCTAACTTTTTCATTTCCTGCGTTTGTTTTGGTGTATTTCAATTTGCAACCTCTACACTTGATTAATAAAAAAGTTTGTGTTTGATTGAGACTTACAGAAATTACTTGCTTGAAATTGAGGGTTTTCTCAGTAATTATAACATTCATCTGAGATTTTATTTTTAATTATTAAACCACCCCACCCCATTTTGAAAGATAAATCTGGGCAGAAAATTGGATTTGGTAAGGAGATATTGTTATAAAAATATACTAATGAAAAACTACACACGTATTTTCCCATATAAAATATGAAATCTCATTAAGTGTACCTTTCGAATTACATACACTTGATCTTATTAATAGTTCTTCTACAATCATTGGTATTGCTTATTTTGTATTTTAGAGTTGAAAACATGCTTTTGCATGGTTGCTGGATGTGTATACTGAGTTGTGATTTAAAAAATATTATACATACATAACTATTTCCTTATCTGGTGGTAGACCGAGATCTTATTATTGAGACTTAGAATAGTCAGAAAGACCAGAGGTTTCTAGAGATTTGCAATATGAATTAGACATTGTGCAAAAGGTTGATCTCCCTAACAGAAGGAAAACTGAAAACATAATCAGTCTTGATTATTGCTACAGGGCATAATTCTTTGTTTGATGCTTTGTTGTTGCTAATAGAAATGCTCTTTCATTTATGACATTATAGCAAAGTTTTAGTAAGAGAGAGACACATTTTTTTAACATGCAATAGCAATCAGTTGCCTATTGTATATAGGTCTGTTGCTGATTACTTTGAAGCATGGCAACAAAGCTCCTTCCTACACGTTTTCAAGACTTGAAAAGCACCATTTATGGTTTTGCTTTGCTTTTATCCTGGGAAGGGAGAAATTAGTTCAAGCCCAGGAGGTGAAATGTTGTAATGTTTTCCGTAACGAGTTCAACATTCTCAGCAGAACTACTTGTAAATGATGATGAGATGTGTGTATTGCAAGTATGTGGCTGTAGAGCTTCATTTAATGTGACTCCCAAATCCTGCTCACAGACAGTTTATTTTGCCATTGATATCAATGGGAGTGGAATCTATCTCCAACTATAGAAACATTCAGAGATTTTCAATAGTAAAATTCTGAATCTATTGCTACCAAATATGAGCAGGCTTAATAGCAAGGACATGTTGTCCATGTCTTTTAAAGTTAAACAGGTTGTTTGTGTAAAGGCCAGAACTCTGATTGGCTTTTATGAGGGTAAGATGGGGGCCTTGGATATCTCCTCTAACACCAAATACCTCTTTATGGCCCAGTTCTGCAATGACCTCAATATTGCCTGAGAGGTACGGAGGATTCTTAACAATCTTCCAATGGAACCTGAGGGATGTTACGCACACTGAGCCAATAAAACCCTCTGTCAAAGGTTGGAGAGCCTTCACTTTAAATCGGTGGTTATCAACCTTTCCAGACTACTGCTTTCCTTTCAGGACTCAGATTTGTCTTGCACTACCCAAGTTTCACTCACTTAAAAACTACTTGCTTACCAAATCAGACATAAAAGTACGAAAGTGTCAGGATGCACTGTTACTGAAAGATTGCTTACCCTCTCATTATGTCTGTATGGCATTTTAGTTTGTGCTGACTTAGCAAGTGCTTTTTATGTAGCCTGTTTTAAAACTTGGCAATTATCTAGGTGCATGAATCTAGGTCCCTGGAAGACCTGTGCATACACCTGCTTTAAACAGCAGTCCAAGTTAATAGGAACTAAATAGTACCAGCAAGAGAATGTCACAGTTCACAGTGTTTTTTTGTCTTCCTACATTTTCCTGAGCATTCCATGCCCTTCTCCTCCATCATTAGAAGAGCAGATATATTCACAAGAGATAATTTTTCATGGGGATTTCTTTTTTGGTGATAAAACTTCTGTTTGGATTTTCTGTTCCCTCCAGGTACAGAAGACCATTTGTTGTGTATAGGCGTGGCAGATGGGTTAGACAGGAATACTTTCCAAAGGGTTTTCACCACTAGTGTGGGAGATACAAATTCAATTTGCAGTGATGTCAATCTCCTAATTTAGGGAAGGAAAAAAGAATCTCCCAGGAAACAAAACAATACCCTTTAACTGGACTTGACTGTTTTTGATTAAACATCTGATACAGGTTGAACCTCTCTAGTCCAGCACTCTCTGGTTCAGCAACATCTGTGGTCTGGCATGATTTTAGTTTGTCAGATGTCCACTTACCATGGGTGTGGCCAAATTTCCTCCCATCCCATAAAATTTGTTTACAGCTCCGATTCCTGGCTCTCAGTATTCTGTGCTGTAATTTAGCTCTAATTTACCCCTAAATGTCTTTTAAGACATATATTATTAATATTGTGTTTTATTGGTCTTTGAACCCTCACATTTGTATCAGTTATATCACATAACATCTCCCCCCCACCCCCCCACTTCTTTGTATTTTAGATAGGGCCAAACTTCAGCCTTAGTTACATCTGTGCAACTCCATTGACTTCCATGGGTTACTCTGATATGATTGATTGCTCATAAGAAATACCCTATTACAGCAATTACTGCATGATGGGGGTGTTATAGTTATACAGGAAGTTAACACATTGCTACTCACTCCTTCATCTGTTATTTGGAGTGGGAATAATGAACACACAAAGAATACAGGAGCGAGCTCTTTACTTGTGTTTCTTTTATATTCCTATCTTCCACTAAGGGTACGTCTAGACTACATGCCTCTGTCGCCAGGGGCATGTAGATTAGGCTACCAGACATAGGAAAATGAAGCGGCGATTTAAATAATCGCCGCTTCATTTAAATTTACATGGCTGCCGCGCTGAGCC